CACTACTGTTAGCATTTGCATTCCCCAGTCCTGAAGTCACAGGTCATTGATTTCTGAAAGCCAAGAGAAACCCTGCAAAAAGGTGTTGCTCTTATTTTGTAGGCTTCCCCCAACCCCTCCTCCCATAATTTCTGATGGCTCTGAGAATTGCCTGAAGTTCTTCTTGCTATAACACAGCCCTACCTATCTAAAATTTTATTTTATAGTGTAAAGATAGACCTGTGCTGTTACTTAAACTCTACATGGAGTTCAAGTACCTTAATATGAACAAATGTTGTTGTCTTGTAATTTTGCTCATTCTGTGTGGCAGTTTCACATTGTTGTGATGGTTTCAGCACACTGAAAAATGAAGCAATAACATTATTCTTGATATAAAAACATTTCTGAGATTTATGACAATAGAAACACTTAGCTAAGATTTTAACTGGTAACAAGCATGCCCTGATTAACAGAATTAATTTCCTGCATGATCAAAACACAGTGTGTCCCTTTTAATAGGACTCTTAAATATTCAGCGCAAAGTAAACATATTTCATGATAACAGGATTTTTAAAAAAAAATTTGATTCAGTTCTGAAGAGAGTGTGCAAGATGAATAGTCAAGGAAGCCAAAAGAAGGAAGAGGAACAAACTAAGAAAGTATTCGATAGCAGCAAGGTCTCTGTTTTAATTATGCAGAGAAGGGGGGGAAATCAAATGCCTAAACTTAGGGTAGAAGCAGTCACTTGAAGTCCAAGAAGCCCAATGCTGCCAAATGATGGCCTAGTGATCTTCAAGGCATTTCCAACCTAAATGTTCCTATTATTCTGTTACACAATGCCTTTTAAAATGCTGGTGTGATTTCTTAAAAGTATTCCTTCTACCTTAGGTGTTTTCTTCAATAGAAGACCTGTTGGCTGGTTGTAGGGATGGCATGATGGATGATCAAGTCTGTCTGTATAGTTTTTGGACAAACTGTTGCCTGCCAAAGAATGCTTTCTATAATCTACATCTTCATGGAAGATATTCTGAGCCATATAATTCTCAACATAATTTTATTCGGTAGCTGTACTGTGACAGAGCCAGGGTCTTTTTTGGCTTCTGTAATAAAGCCTTCTAATAAATACATGGACAAGTATTCAGAATATTGTCAGAAGAAAATGCTTGAGTATTTAAGTACATAAATGCTACTCTTATCAACTTAATTCTGTAAAGAAATTATTCTCAGTTTTAAATCTCAAGAAATTTCACCAATTGCAGATATACAGAGTGACAAGCTGGAATGTGCATCCTTTTAAAAAGGGACATCTGAGCTTGCAGTTCTTTAAAATATACATATGGGTGAGTATTCTAAGTCTACATGCTCCCTGGGGCCATCTGACCACCTCCTCATTGGCAGAAACTGGATTGTGTGCTTTAATTTCAGAGGCTGTTCTTTTTCAATTTAAGTTCAGATAATGGCAGAGGAATGAAATGTGTCTGTATTTTTTATATAATTCTCACTAATTACAGTGTAGTGTGGCAGAAGTAAAGTTTCTCTACAGAACTGTAGGAAAAGGGTAATGCAAGATAGAATACTTTCATCATTTATATATAACTGAATGTATTTTATATAATTTGTGTATCTAAAACACAGAATTATTTGCCTACAGTAACATGGTTCATAACAAATCACTTGTGCTCCCTGGAAGACACTGTCTGAAAATACTTTCCTTTCAACACCAAATCAATGATATTTATTCTAGTGAATTCCAAAATAATAATAATAATAATAAAAAACTGCGGCAGAAAATCACTAGCTCTGAGTTCAAATCTCCAATTTACATTGGTGTAAGTTTTGAGTCTCTTGTTTGACACATTATGCAATATAACCTTTCAGTCTCCTTCCTCCTACAGTATGAGTCATTATCCCTTGTCTTTCTCCATTTCAGACTAAGGTCATTCCAACACGTAGGTCTAACAAGAAATGCAATGTATTTTCATTGATTTGTATTGTCACTGATTACTCCTTCATGTTATTTAGTGATCTGTATAGTAAAGGACGTTTTATGTTGTCATGCAAAGCCAGACTTAAGGAACAGATTTGTACCCCAGGCTCTCCCAAATTATTTGTAAGTTCTTGGTTTTTAGAAATGAGCTTTAGAAAATAGCATTGAAATTATTTACCACTATTAATCAATCACTAGAACTGAGTGTTAGGCACTAGTCTAGATTTTTTTTCACTTTTTTACCAAACTGCAGTTTTTTCATAGTCTTGTCCAGAGACTGGTTCCTTCAGGCTCAGGAAAATGAGAGAATTTTGTCATTCGATTATTGGAAATATTTAAGTTTAATTTACAACAGAATATTTTAAAATTCATTCTATCCTAGTAGGTAGGAAATCTCTAGAAGTGTGTAACAAGACTGTCATCAGCATCTTCATTATGTTTTTATTGCAAAAATGGTCACTTAGAAGAGGACCATGAAGTGGAAAACTACTGCTGTGTATAATTACTCGCCAATTTTGTCCTTAGTTTTCAATTTTTCACATATTCAGATGTACTACATCCTCAAAAAAAAAAAAAAAAAGAGAAGGAACTGAATTTCTATTCTAAGATGGGGCACTAGGAGTAAGCAAATTATTACCTCCCACCCAATTTCTATTAGCAATATTTGGGACTGTGCATATCCCAATAGATTTTTGAGGGTTTGCTAGATATCTGTGTCCATAAAAGTATGTTTGTTGTAGAGAATGTTCTTGAAGTTTGTGTTATGTAATGAAAATTGTATGTAGGGCAATCTGAAAATACACACAATGTAGGTTCAAATGTAAATCAAGTAGCTTTTCTATATTTGATTAGGAATTTTTAAAGTTGTTACTTTTTTCTCCCAGAATATTGCAAAACTAGTTCTTCATTACCACTAAAGATTTTAAGTAGAAAATAAACTGCAGTAGGTTGATTGCTTATCTGTGCTCTGTGTTTTTTCCTACATTGTGCCTTGTACCTGTTAGCTCAGATTGTGTAAAATGTATTTTTTTGAGACTTAAACTGATCAATACCTACTCAAGGTCTTCAAAGCCTCTTTGGATTTGCAGTTGATATCAGTATAACAGAGACAAAAAAAAAAAAGCTTAAGTGCAACAGTGAGATAGATGAATACATAGAGAAAAGAAATCAGAGAGATCCATCTGAAACTCTGTGCTGTCTGAGTTTGAGTTGCTATAATTGTTCACGAACGTTGAAGATAGAAATTGAGTTTAAAAATAAAAATACTTGATTTATAGAGAGATCATATTTCTGAACTGAAAGAACTGAGTTGTATTCAGGCTTCATAGGGTATGATGTTGATGGAGTTCATAATCCTTAGTATAAGAGGGCCTTATAGCTGCAAGGAAGAAATAGTGAATTCTTATTTATCCCTCTTCATATATTTACTTGCCCTTTACATCCTGCTTTTCCTTTCCCCCACTGTTCTATTTAATTGTTCTTTTTCTTCTCCCATTTTCCATATTCATTATTGGTTTGCCTACAAATATTTTGCAAGTGAACAGGGTATGACCAAACTGTGAAAAGTTTTTTTCTTTTTTTTCTTTTTTTTTTTTCTTTTTTAATGCTGGTTTGTTTTATTGTTTCTCAAAAACATATTGGGATTTATTGAAAAACATAACTAATTTCACTGTAAGAAGCAGCTGAGAGAGAAAGCTATAAAAGTTTGAATGAGAAATTTTAAGAGGAAATGGAATTTCCAAATAACTTACATTACTTTTCAGCAAAAATTACACCAAGGCAAGGCCGAAACAAATATAGAAACTGTTATTGCCACTAGCTTATAAAGACATTCCAGCCTTCTTTCAGACTTTCCCTACTGACATTCTTCAGTGCCTGTTTCCCTTCACTTGCTTGCATTTTTCTTACATTTTACAGACTGCCCTTCTCTCTAGCCCTTTCACTACTTTCTCTTTATGGCTTCTGTTGTTCCACAGATTGGTAACTCTGCTGTGCTGTCAGCAAACAAATAAACTCTTTACTTCCCTGCCTCCCACAGCAGAAAATACAGGAGAGTCCTTATACAAAATTTCCTCCATGCCGTTTGCATTTACTTGCCATAGCACCAAATAGTTAAGCAGGTATTCCACTCCTAATGGAAATAGCAGTATGTAGTTACACAAAAGTAGCGGTTTTTGAAGTCTTATCAGAATTTGTAATGTGTTTTTCTTTCAATGAAGTATATTAAAAGAAAACAATGGCATATTGGCCCCAAAGTGCTTTTGAACTTACTCTACGCTCTGTTCTTTCTGCTGTTTCTGGGGGCAAGTGTGGCCAACAGCAGATTTTATCCTTGTGTCATCTGGTTCTCTGAGCCTCAGAAGAATACTGATCACCACAGCTGCAATAAATAAAGTGTCTATTCAATAAGTTATGATGCCAAATATTATTCCACATTCTTCTGGACAGGCACAGGCTGATGGAAAACAGCACATGTCACTTACTGCCTTTTTCCTTGCAATTAAAGTTGCTGAGTAATCAGTCTGTACCACCTACAGAAAAGGAAAATGTGAATAATGCCAATCTGCTTGGGTTTGTTTACAATTACTATTTGAAGGAAAAGTACCAATAGCAATACAGCTTTCATTAATTATGAAGCACAGACAGTGGGTTAACAACATAAATCCTGATGTCTGTAAGAAATATAACTTTATGTGTCTACCTGTTCTATCACAGTGCTTGGTTTCTAATATCTTTTTTATTCATGTCCAGACATTTTTATTCAGCATTTGATTGGATATACACCCCATGGAATATATAACACATTCTCTGATAGAAACTTCAATAGTTCATTTCTAGCATTTAGGATTATGCTGTAGTTCTTCTCTGACTTAATGGTTCAGCCTTTTTCACTATCACAAGGAGAAAACTAATGGTGTGAAAAGTTTGGTTAAAACTGTTTCAGTCCAAAAATACTTGTTTTACATGTATTCTTTCTGAATTATTTTTTTAATGTTCTGTTTTGTTTTTTCCCCTCTTTGTTTTCTTTTTCTAGGCTGAGGTTCAGCTATGCTATCTGGAAGCACAAAGAGATGCTGTTGAACAGATGTCCTTAAAACTGTACAGTGAGCAGTACAACAGTAGTAGCAAGCGAAAGGAAGAGTTTGCTGATATGTCAAAAGTTCACACAGTGGGAAGTAATGGGTAGGGAACTATTCTTTTTGTTGTTTTATTCTCACTGATCTGTTTTGGATTTTTTTACGCGATATACTTTTTCTTACTACTAGTTAACCAGGATTTTTCTTCCTAGGCCAAGAGGCAGGGAAAAACTGTTTCTATTGCTCTCTTCTTTTTTTAATTATAAGGATGCAAAAATTATGGGTTCTGGATAATTTATCCAAATTATGGTTTGTTCACAGGAACACCTATTATCTAATAGTAAACTGCTGCCTGGATTTAAAAAAAAAAATTGTGTCCTTTTTCTTTAGGCTTTTCTTCTCCAGCAGCTTCATATTATTTGATTTCTTAACATCTTCCAAGGAAGAATCTTGATAATGTAATCGTATCTCTGCAAGACATCTATAATCATTGTTCTCCTGGTGACTAAGAAATATGAATATGAAGCCATTCAATTGTAGTTCAAACATCCAGGTTTTTATATTTCAAGAAAGCACTTATTTTAACTGTTTTCCTTTTTATTTAGACTGTTTTTTCTCTACTTGATTTTTCTTTTCATTAATGTTAGTGCACATATATACACGTGTATATCAGATTTAAAAGTGTGCATTCAAAAGCATTGTTTCTTAATATTTTGAACAAATTAATCACTGGAATATGCTAAAATGCTCTCTTTTTCACAATCAAGGAAACTTGTAGTTCTGGAAGAAGACTTTTTCTTTAAGGTCTTCTGAAAACCATATCTTCCAACTTCAAGTGCCCCAAAATGAACATAGAAAAAACTACCTCTGGGATCATAACAGTGTAGGCCAAAAGCAGGTCAAAGGACCCATCTAGTGCTCATTGTTTGGGGATGCCCTCATCCTGATGGAAGTTTCATTGTAACTGGCAAGTAGCATAGAACTTTTGCCTGCAGTTTCCTAGGCAAGAAAAGTCATTGACAAAGGTGTTCATAACTTCTTTATCTTCAGAACTTCCCTTTCCAATTTTTAGCTCAATGTTCAGGTCTTGGAAACACAGTTTTATTAAATTACCAACTGTAAAGACAAATGAGCCTTGTAAACATCCCCTCTTATTATACAGAAAGATGGCTGTTTTAGAAAAGTTGATGTGGGCTAATTATGTAGGATTACTGAGATCTTGATTACATATGCAGAAATCTGTCAGATTCTCAAACACGCCAGCACAGCTAGTGCCAGCCATAAAAATAATTTGTTCAGAATTGGTGTGTATATGTATATAAATGTACACTGAGGGCTACATGTTCAATACCAGCTTCAAATTTTGCAGCCGTCACTGAATGTGAGCAAGGCTTAAGGTTGGAATATTGAGGAGGATGTAAGACACATCAACAGACACTTGATTTTCCTGAGGGGAGGGGATGTAAAGCTTTATGCTTCACAGAGAAATCCAGTTTGTGACTCTACACACCATATGTGATAATCAAGTAGTTTCTTAAATGCACTTGTTTTCTCTTGTAATTATATGCTTTGAACTGGAAATGATCATCTGCTCGTATTTCAAACCTTTTAGTGTTGTGGATGATCATCTGCTAGTATTTCAAACCTTTTTAGTGTTGTGGCCGCCCTTCTGGGCCCGTAAGGCCATCTCAGACCTTAGAGGTTCAACAGTGACTTCAGGGGCCAAAGGGCTGGAATCAGACCAGGACAATATCACTTATTCAGGCATTGTAGAAACTAGTGGGGACTAAATTCAGCTGGAAGACTTTTAGTTGAATCCGTCTGAAGTGCTGTGTGGAAAAAAAATGGGAATTCCTTTCAGCTATTTAAAAATATAATTGGTGCAACATTTCCTTACTGCATGAAAACCATGGACAGAAACTCCACAGCAGCATGACCAAACTGGAGACCAAGATGTCTACAGAGAAGGGGCCATTTGCACAATTTAGGGTATCTATCAATTTGCTGCTGTGGAAGTTTGATCTAGGAAAAAGAAGAATGTCTACAGGGAGAACAAGAGCTATTTTAAACAAATTTTTTATATGATATGTGCGTGTGTGTATGTGTGTGTGTAGGAGATTTGGGAGATGACTTTGTGCAGGAACTAGCTAAACTGAGATAGGTAGCGTAGTATTTGCAGAATAGTGTGATTTTAGTGGGTGTGTAAGGAACCAGAGATTTCCTGCAAAACAGTAATCTTGTTAAAACAGCAATAGAGAAGGTTTTTGTGTATTAGCATGAAAATGGCCAAAGTGACAAAGAGAAAAGAATGAGTATCCACTACAGGAGAGCAGCAGCTAGCCAGGAGGTAAGAGGTACCCCAGAGTAGTTTAGGGCAGGTGCAAAATGTTGTGGCAAATCTGGCTGGAAATACTGTATCCCCTCAAAACTGGAGATGAGTGTATTCAGGTCCTGTTGGGAGATATGGACAGCACCATTTCATAGCATGAAAGCCAGATCCTAAGATCCTGTCATCAGTGGGTATTGGGCCTTTATGCATGAGAGAAATGCATTAGAGGGGGCTTTTACTATGTGCTGAACATAGGGAAGTTTTAAAACTATTAAGGTTATAACTTGAATTCTCCTATATCTCCCTAATAAAAACATTAGTTTTTATTGAAAAAGAGTGAAAAGAGTTCCATAAAATTATGACCCGGAAACTTGAAGGGACATTTTGTGCGGCTGAATTTTTTGGTGGATGTACCATTGTGTTTACTTCTAAATGCCATGTAAGTTATGCCATCAAAGAAATACTACAAACTGGAAGTGCATGTTAAACATGGGGAAAAAGGCTGATGGAAATAGCTTCACATTCCTTTTTATTTATTAATGCCACAGACGAACTGGTTTTCTCATGAGAAAGGTGCTCATGAATTTTCATTCAAAATAATAAATTGGTGTCCACATTTTAAGAAATATGTTTAGGGTTCAAGGGATTAGACATGCAACTCTGCATATCTGATTCCTGGTTTACTGAGACAAAATATACTTCTTAATGTAATTTTAGTTATTACATAGCTAATGGTTTTAGCTTATTAGCCAACAAACTTCATCAAGGAAGCAGTTTTTACCTGCCCTTTAACTAGTATCATAGCATTTTTGTTGGCAGTCTTTGGGTACTTTTAATAGAGGATTTTTTTCTTTTTCAATAAACAGAAGAACTAATTTATTCATTTTTTAGTGTTTGGTGAATTCATATAATCAACCAAAATTGGATTTGTTCTATGATAATTGCATCTTTGACACACATCAGTATTTCAGAAGTCTTGCCTTCCCTGGTTCTGCCTGTTGTGATATAAAAGAAAGATCTGCTAAGCTCAGGAAGAGTAGATTCTGAATAAAAAAGAAATACTAAATATACCCCAGAAGTACTGGCAGATATGTTTCAATCTTAATCTCTGTCCAGTCCTACAATTTCTTGATTTTTTTGAATATCTTTTTAGCAGCTTAGTAACTTGCATCCTCTTCCAAACAGTAATTTAGTAGTGATCACTAAATTCATTCCTTTAGATGCAAGATATTAATTTTTAAAAATCTGTTTTAAAAAATATGTATCAGAGATATTCTAAAACTATTGAAAGTATTGAAAACATATTAAAAAAATATTGATGATGCTCTGTAGGCTGACTTCGCTATCTTCAGGCTCAGGCAAATAACTGCCATAGACAGTTGCTTAAAAACACTCCTATATGACTTGACTTTACTTCAGAAAACAAGAAAAAACAATAAAAACCAAAATAGACCAAAAAAACAAACAAACAAAAAAAAAAAAAAAAAAAACCCAAAACCCAACCCCCACCCCAACCCAAAAACAAAAAACCCAAAAAAACCCCAACCAACCAATAAAAAATAAAAGCACTTAAAAAAAAGAAAAAAAAAAGAATAAGTACAGTATGTAATCTATGGGGAAGAAAACCAAAACCAAATATCTTTTGTCTTGTATCCCTTCCTGGGCTTTTTCCAGTGAATCCTGTTTCTCTCCCTCTTGGTTTTGGGTTGAGTTTCTGTTTAGAACATTACTTTGAAATCAAAATATTCAGCTGTTTTCTAGTGCTTATCTGTATTGTATAAAGGTCAGAGAAAAGTGTGTTTCTGTTCCTTTAAAGGCTTGATTCATTTCAATATACAAATAAGTGGACCAGTTTGAACTGTAGGTAAGACATGGATCTTTAGACGCAAAGCAGATGTTTGGACCCAGCACATCTTCTGCCTATTACAGAAAAATCCAAGTCCACTTCCTATTGTATTTTCCAAGGGCATCCCATGCCATTCTGTATGTAGGCTTTGTTTCACATCATCTTCATATATTAATTTAGGATTTTCACTGGTACAAACCATCCAAGTCCAACTGAATCTGCACCAATTTACAGGTTATGAAATCTAATATCTTGTCTTTTAGAACATATGTTTTAATAACTGCCTGTCAGTTTTATGTCTTTGAATAATATTTGGATAAGATGGAAGAGAAGAAAAAGAGCAGGAGGTACTGAAGATGCGGAATGGTAATACTGCTTTCTGAGGAAGGGATGAAGATTCAGTAACACTGCCAAATATACAATTCAAAATGGAGTTCAGTTTTATTTTAGTTTCCACATGATATCTGAGTCAAATACCTCCTGAAACAGGAAAAAAGCCCTGAACTCCAAATGAGACTTATATTTCAATAATAGTAACCTGACCTTTTGTGCTTGCTCTTCTTTCTTTATGGTAACACTGCTTACCTTCTCAGGACAGCAAGCAGTTTTAAGTAAGTGCGTCTCATAAATTATTAAGTAAAAGTATACTAAGTACAGTGGATTAAACTAGAGGGTTACTTCAGAAGCAGGAATCAGTGCTTGTGCATTATACAATACTTTCTTTGTTGTCAATTCATTGAAAATAATACTGCAGAAGGCAAATGCTTTCTTCTCTCTTGCCTACTTTCTTGAGCAAAGACAGTTCTACTTGTCACAACTTTATCTGTAAGCTTTCAAAATTACCACACATGTGGTACTCTAGTTAATATCAAATAAAACGGCAATAGTACTAATGACATTAAAAGCATGTTTAGTTTATTGTTTCTCTGTTGAAACACTTCTTGTTTTTATAATGGAGTCACTAAAAAAGTTCTTAATAATTGGAGAAATTAGCTTTAGTGGAACATGCGCTATTCTTTGATCAGTACGGGAGTTTTTTGATACTGGCAAGGCTTTTGTTAGTTCCAATTTTGCAAATTTGAAGATCCCTTTTCAAGAGGTATCTATTTGACGAATGTGCAGTTTTTCAGCATGTACTTTCTGTCTTGCATCACAGTGTTTTAGAAGAATCTATGCTTTACTTATTCACTAGGCTTTCAATAGAGAATCACATTAATCCTTTTAAGCTCCTTATTCTAATGATTTATTTTGTTGAAAACCGTAGTGATCCTCCTTTGAATTTTAATGATTTCTGGCTATTCAAGGATTCATTGTTTTGACTTCCTGTCCTTACCTTTGTTTCTTACATGTCTGTAGGGAACACCTGTCTAATACTGTATCTGGCCTTAGTTCTCACTGGCTTACCATATTCACTCAAGCCTATCTTAAGGCGTTAAGTTGAAATGCTAGCTACTCATCCATGAAAATAAATGTAGGATATTTACTAAGATAGGCAGATAGACAGCCGAGGGATGGCTGAGTGGATTGAGTAATTTTTTGATGTAAATATTGTTTTTGTCTGAATTATATTAAGGTGATTGTTGCAAAATTTGCTCAATATAAAGCCAGCACTGTAAAAATAATTAAACAACACCTATATGGGATTTGTATTTCAAAATTTTTGAAGCAAATGCAGTATGCCAACAGTTGTCAGGATTTGGCATCAGCTGCTGAATTTAGGTCATGGCACTGGCTTAAATTGGATTTCAGTTTTCATTTTCATCCACACTGTATAAATACAGAATGTCTCTTTAGAAATATAACTTGGAAAATCATGAGTTTTCAAGAATATATTATTCTAATACAAGATTTTAACAACTACACAGTATTTATGCATAATACATTTTGTTCCTTATCTACAGCCTTTTGGACTTTGATTCAGAATACCAGGAGCTCTGGGATTGGCTGATTGACATGGAATCCATTGTGATGGACAGCCATGACCTGATGATGTCAGAGGAGCAGCAGCAGCATCTTTACAAGGTTAGCACTACTGTTACTGCTTTTACCTAGCTATAGAAGATCTGATTAGCTTGACAAGTCTTTCTCTCACAGGATATCACTGCGTTCATTGTATGTATCATGGTGTCTATTAGAATTCCCTTCCCTGTCCCCAACCTCATTTCCATCCCCTGTGCACTGACAGGCTGCAACGACATCATAATTGCAAGAAAGTTCCCTTTATCACATTCTATTTGGTGTAATTCTATAGAAGGACAAAGATTTGTCTTCAAGATGAATAGAAATAAATGAAACTGCATTAATAAATAGACTGAAACAAAATGAACGAAAAAAATGAAATGGGAACTTTTAACAAAATGTGTTTTGATTGGAGCTTTCAGCTGGATTTTTATCCACCTTTCAGACCTCATCTGGAAAGAAAGACATTTGCCTTGATTTTGGTTTGCTGCTGCCAGAATTCAGGACTCTTCCAATTTAATTTTTATTAGCTACACATAAAGTAGACATTGTCATGTTAAGTTTTCACACTCGGTTGTGATTTGAGCAATATGATTTTGAACTTGTAGGGTGAAGCTATAGGGTCAAATTCTAGCATTTATATATATATATATATGTACACGTATATAAATATGTGTGTATGTGTACGTATATGTATATGTGCATACATGCATACAGACACGTGTGGTTTCTTTTATTTGCCATTGCAGCCTTAACCCAGAAGATTTATCATTTCTTTTAGATAGATAATACTTGTAAGAACTTCCTCAGAATGTGTGACTTCATTCTAAAATTGATTCAGGCTTCACTGTGTGTCTGAGGAGCTATGGGTCTGAGGGGTGGGGGGACAAGGAGGGGCTTTCGACAGAAATATCAGGCTGCAATAAATCTTCCTCATTTAGGCAATTTTTATTGGAGTAATTCTGACAGTTGTCATCCTTGAATTGCTTTGAGCATATGGCATATTTCAAAGAGCAGATTGTGAATCATAAAAAATAAAATTAATAACTAACCACAGAATCAGCAACACTATAATGACAAGAAACAACTACCCTCTAGCTTTTTTTTATTTCTTATCAAATAGATGGTATATTCAAGGTCAAATAGAAGTTGTTCTCTTTCTTCTGTGATTGCATGATTTGATAATTTCTTAAATACAGTGATTTTTTTCTTGCTTTAGCATCCTGTTTTCTTGATAGTCTCTTTGAATTTTATTATTTCTTATTTTAGTTATTCTATTTAAAATACCCAGTAAGAAGGTGTTGTCATGTGAGCTAAAATATGTTTATAAATGCAAATATAGTTTGAATCCAAACTATTTTAGGCTCTGAGTTTCATTCACTCGCCTCCATTTCTTGTTTTGACGGTTATTTTTGCTATTGTCTTTTTCCTAACACTGTAAGTACTTCATAGACTTGATCACACATTAACTGACCTGGCCTTGGCCAGGCTCAGAAATAAACAATGTCAGAAATAAGTAAAGATTTTCTTGTGAGTCTAAAATAAGGTGTTTTGGTAGTTAGTGTCTGTCCATATAAGGCCAGCTTGTACCATGACTAATTTAACCGCTAGTTTTAGTCCTATACTAAAAATCCAAATTGATAAACGTAGATTTTATGGTAAGAATCCATCCATCAATATGAGAAGGAACAATGATTAAGCAGCCAGTTCAAGTATTTTAGATCCTATTTAGTATACTTCCTTTCTTATTTCCAAATGTAACCCCTAAAAATAATTATAGGTGGTGAGGCTGAGATAATAGTGCATGATGAGAAGAGTAAAAAAGGGCAACAATTTAATAATATGTGCAGTATAATATGGTGGAAAAATGGATAATATTATATATGCAAAATGGGAATAGTTTCTTAATATTATGAAATTCTGAACTGTGATAGGCATGACACTTCTGAAAGCAGAAGGTTTGTATGACAGAGTAGCTGACTGCAGCCTGTGCAGCAGAGGCAAACCAGCAGTGATTCCAAAGAACAGGCAGCTGATTTGTGTGCCAGGAGGTCACAGGCTACTGGACCAGATTTGAGCCCCCATGTCAAAACTGCTTATCTGGTACTTGATCACTACAAAACCACTTGAAGAAGGGTAGGAATAGGCTCCTTGCCCTCCGCAGTGAATATTCTCTGCGTTTACCTTTCTAGTAAGAGCAGCAAGCAAATTTTTAAGGAACAAACAAAAGCCTTAACTAGAGATGTGGAGTTTGCATAAGAGTTGACTGAGAAGCATCCACAAAGCAGGAGGAATGTTTGCAGGTAATATAAAAATCTTAAGTGCACTGCATTTAGAACGATCATTCTTTCCAAAAAAAACCCAAAACAAAAAACAAGAAGAAACCTCCAACACGACAGTGAACAACCTCTCAAAGTGTTGAAAGCCCGATAATTTCTGACATTTATAAGTAGACAAAGGATAACATTAGCTAATGGAATTGAGGGAACAATTCTGCACTAGCAAAGACCAGGTAAATCACTATCTCTTTACCATCCCTAATTTTAGAGATTTGCGTGACAATGAATCGTGTCCTCAAAAAGAGTATTAATAGTTTCATAAAACTGGTCTAGTAAACCTCTCTTCTAATCAGTGGTGACACCCATTTTATTCAGAGGCTTTTTCTGAGTCGTGGATGGTCGAGTGCTCATGAGCGCTGCCTGCACTTCCCAGAGAGCACAGCCGTTCTGGTCTGCAGGGACGGAAACCCGGGCAGCTATTATTACCAGAGCTCCTCAATGATGTGGGGTGTTATGAAAACACAGGTCTTGCTCTGGTTTCTCTTTATCAATTACAGCTTCAAATGTGAACCTGCTAATTGCACTCTCTGCATTTTCGTGGATTCTCCTAAAACCACAGATCTCTCTTCTCAGTTGCTGAGCTGACAAGTAATTGCGGCTCAGAGCCAGCTCAGCAAGCAGCCCCTGCCAGGGAACCTGCTGTGGTATCACTATTACCAACAGTAATCATTGCCCCTAAGGAGTCTATGAATGGGAAGGAGCAATGATGAAACAGGTAATTCAGACGGGGCAAGCATACATTAAAGCAACATAACACAATATATAAATGCTAATATTGTATATAGTAAAATGAAATATATTTTCATGGTTAGATTATTTTCACAGTATCTGTTTTCAGAGGCAATATATATTTAAGTCAACTCTCAGCTTAATTTTTTTTTCTAATATTCCAGGAACTTCACATTTTTTTTACTAGGATCCCAATTATCTCTCTTTAACTAGGTTTTATTTTGCCCTTATAATAGGAACAGCATAGCCATATTTTTTGTAATACTGAATATGAATATACTACTTTCTCTAGACTTCCTAGATTTCAGTTCATAGATTTCAAAAAAAAGAGAACATAGACCTAAATGATTTCTGCATTATAGCCCTAAACTAGCTAATGATTTTGAAAATCAGCTAGTGTTTGATAAAATGGCAGTAACAGAATGAATTGATGGTAGTTTATTTTTCCTCTAATGCTTTATCTATTAATTAAGAAAAAACTAAAAGGAGCACTTCCATGTTTTGAATTCTTACTTCTTTGTACTTCTATAACAGCTCAGTTTGATGCCAAATGTATCATGTTTATTTCATTTTAATCTTCTGCATGTGAGCCTGATTTTATAAGCTCTAAGTACACAGAACTTGCATTGACTTCAGCTGTATTCATATGCTGTTACTGGAGGATCAAACCCAAAGAATTTAAACTCTGCTAATTAGCCCTTTAGTAGGAACTTGAGTGATTCTGTACCTTGAATGTTCAAAAATGAAGCAAATCAGTATTTGCAAGAACTGTCAAGAAAAGTTAATGATAATTCTTTCCATTTTGCTCTGAAGATTAATTGCAAAACTTAATTGTGTTAGATTAAAACCCTATTTAAATAAGTACAGTATGATTGTTAGAATTGTTAGTATGTTCAGAACAAAATTAACCAAGCATTTGAAAATATCAAATAAAATAAATATTTTTTTTCTGATTACAAGCAGTGTATGGTGGTTTTAATGCAAACTGCATAAGCCGTAAGTCTTTTACTAGTAATTCTTCAGCAATGATTATGATAGATGGAAAAAGATCCATATGTAGTAGTGCAAAGATTTTGAAAGCATTTAGTTGGTCCAGCTTTTAAACAGGTTAACTGCTGAGCTCTTTCATCAAGGGGAAGTGGTCCACTGTATTAAATAACACAAAAATGCACATCAAAAACTAAGGATATATTTCAAAAAAAGTTGAGGGGGAAAAAAATCTCCCAGCAGTTTTTGTTTCCCTGCTGGAAGCTCTATGCCTGCTTGGAAGGTGCAGTTAATTTCCTCCTCTGGGTGTGCTGCTGCTCCATTGTGCCTTTCTCGCTGGCTCAGTGTGCTGTGGCCCGGAGTGGATCAAACAAACCGTGGTGAAAGTTTCCCTCATTTGCATCACTTCTAGACAGCCCTGTCGTACTCTTTGCTGACAGGAAATCACTGTCTTTGTCACCTTTTTTCAGTGATCTCCTTTTGGCAGAGATTGGCCATGTGACCAGGATTAATCACAACAACAGTTCTGGCTCAGAACTCAATGACATGTTTTCCTCAGCACTTCAATAATGGTGTAGAGGAGTCAGTAGGAAATGACTACATTAATTTCAGAGTGAAAAGATAATTAACACTTAAGGACTAGTGCTATAACCTATGGAGCTATTATTCAAATTAAAACTAATTTATTGCAAACTTGTGAAAAAAAAAAAACCACAAAAAACTGTTTTTTAATGCAACTGTTAAAATAATCTTGCAAGAGCCCCTGAGTTTAAAAAGAGGCACAAACTATATTTAACGTGGTAATATAAATACATAAAGACTTCAACATTTGAAACTGGAGGCTAAAGTATGTAAAGTGCTTACTTAGATGATATGAATAGGATACTGGCAAACAAAAGCAGCAGTGTGCTCCTAGAATGCTGTGCTTCAAGGAGTTTCCTTGGCAACAGAAATGCAGTTCCAAAAGTAGACAGAACTTTCCTCAGAAAACATACTATTAATAACAAC